CCGATATTCAGTTTTAAGGCCGATACCGATAGGGGGCCGATTATATCGTGCATCCCTAGTTTTAACATCTCATTTTCCACCATCTTAAACAGATAAAGAAGAAAAAAACGGAGATCGATGGATTTCACTCATTATTTCTATCTTTGCAAAGAGAGAACGGTTCATCAATCGGCCCTTATTGCTCAGTAATCAGTCCTGTTCTGATCTGGGCAGCGTTCGTTCCTCCTTACTTATAATAATGGAAAGTAGTCAGAGTTAAAACAAATTACAGACACTTTGGTTAAACAGTAACATGTTAAGAATAAACCTGAGAAAGAATCTGGCTCATTATTCAATTCTATTCAGTTTATTTCTATAGAGCCGATTCACATCATGTCATCTCAAGGCACTTTGCACTTGGCTGAGTGAAAACTTTTAAATTGAGTAAATAGCATAAATTAATATAGAATATAAGAAAAAAAGTTTGAGTTTCACCTGGTTTAATTTAGTAAAAATCTTCCTTAAGGAACCTTTGGCTATCTTATTATTAATTGAAAAAAAAATAGAGCTGCAACTAACAATTATTTAGAAAATCGTTTATACTGTCGATTATTTTTTTGATTAATTGATTAACATTCTGATATCCAAAGGTGCCTTAAAAAGAGTTTTACTAAATTAAACCAGGTGAAAATAAAACTTTCCACTTGGGGATTTCTGGATTATAGAGCAGATTGATTTTTTTATTTATTTTTTTATCTGAAATGCAAATGTTTCTATATGTTTTACAATCTTGGTATAATTCCTGCTCTAGGTGGGTCGCTATGGAAGCAAATCGTTACCATATTTAAAATGTAAAAGCAGCTAAAGGCACGTTTTATAGTCTGTATACTCTAGTTAACGATCAATCGATTACTAAATTAGCTGTTTATTTTAATAATCGATAAATCATCATTAATCCAATTAACTGTTTGAGCCCTAGGAAAAATAATCAACAGATGAATGGATTTGCTAAATGATCCTTTGCTGCAGCCCCTCTTCAAAGTAGCTTCAGCTAAATGAATATTAACAGTGTATTTGCAGATAACAGGAGGCTGCAGCAGCTGTACCTTGCACTGCTCCTTTGACCACGGCGATAAAGCCCTTCCACAACGCCTCCGGGTCCATCTCCACATGTCCCGCCTCCGGATACAGCGGGACGACCTTGGCGAAGGTGGCAGAGATTAATTAGTGAGTGATAGATTAACGGAGAGGAGAACTCGCAGCCCTTTGACCTTTCCACGTTTCAATATTTGTTACATTATGGAAAGAGCTCAGTATAGAAACTGAAAAATATGGCATGCGTTTGGATTCTGCCTTTTCTTCTAAATCTGTCTTAAAACAAATGTTTTCCCTTTCATAAAAGCAAGTAAATTATCTGATCTGCCAACAGAATTTTTATTTTTACTCTTCAAATAAGATCATTAGATATTATGCACTTTAGACAAGTTGCTGGGTTTGTTTTTTCTCATTCCAGTAGCAGTTCTTGCTAATACGCTAAAAAAAAAAGTGGAAATAGACTTTTTCAGAGAAAAACTGACTTAGTTATATTTCATTTCTGCAGTGCAACTCTGGAGGAGCTGTAACAGTCCACAGTTCAGGTGGGAGAATCGGCTGACATGATAACTGAGTTATAGGCTGTTTTTCTGTATATGTACTTGTGCGTTCTCGTGCACACGTGAAACATCATCAGCCTCAGCCCTAGTACTGTTCCAATTCACAAGAACAGCGT